TGACAGCTTGGTGCCTTCTACACAAAGCCAAGAGCCTCATCTCCAGGTTTTCCCACCCAAAGTTTGCCTTTCCCAGGCTTCAGTGGGGCCTGGATGTTTGGGGGACAACGGCACTTTGCTTGTTGGCCCCAAGGTCCCCTTGTTGCCTCTGTTTGGGGTCACACTTGGCCTTGGAAGGGACCAGAGGACAACACCTGAGCACCCCTCAGTGGGCTGTGGCATTGTCCAATGTCAGGAGCAAGGATAACCTGTTTACATGATTTCCTTTGCAGTATAACACCCTCCTCTCAGACATGGAGACCACGTACAGCGTGGCCAAGGTCTGCAGAGACGACAAAACCTGCCTCCCACTGGATCCTGGTAAGATCTGGCAGGGTGTCCTGGGAGGCACCTGCCCAGGCCCAGAAAGGGGGATTTTTTAATGAGGGCATGAAGAAAGGGCATGAAGGGTCCTTCCACCTCCTCTGTGATGGCCCATGAGCAGCACATTGGCTCTTGCTCCACTGTGTCAGCCCAGCTCAGCTGAGAGCACCACTTCAGCCTCGTTGCTCTCTCCTCAGACCTCACAGACATCATGGCCACCTCTCGGGACTATGACGAGCTCCTCTTTGCCTGGAAGGGCTGGAGGGATGCCTCTGGGAAGAAGATGAGGAACAGCTACAAGCGATACGTGGAGCTGAGCAACAAGGCAGCCATGCTCAACGGTCAGTGCCCCGCTCCCTCGGAGCCCACCCCACGGTCCTAACCCCCTGTGAGCAGAGGACTGGGCTCTTCACCCAGCTGGGGGTCGTAATCCTAAAAGTGTGGAGGTCCCACTTAATCCCATGAGCTTTGTTGTCTCGTAGATATGGAGGGACCTGGGGTGCCTGAGCAGCAAAACAAGACTTTGCCCCAGAAGGGCGGTGTCTGACAGCTTCTGCTCTTGCCCTGGTTACACAGGTTACACAGACAATGGGGCCTACTGGAGATCCCTGTATGAGACACCCACCTTCGAGGAAGACCTGGAGAGGCTGTACCTGCAGCTGCAGCCCCTGTACCTCCACCTGCACGCCTACGTACGCCGGGCCCTCTACAAGAAGTACGGTGCAGAGCACGTAAACCTGAGGGGGCCCATCCCTGCTCATCTGCTAGGTGAGGATGGGCCGTGTCTCCCACCAGGAATGGGTGGCTCTGGCTCATGCCAAGAGCTGGGGCTGGTGTCTGTTCAGCTCTGGCTGAAGGGCCGAGGTCCCACGGAATGGGTGTGCAGAAGGCAGTCCGCCCCAGGGAAGGGCAGCATGGATGTGCAGGCAGGGCAGGGATCCTGACAGGGCAGGGACCAGGCAGGGTGGTCCAGCTGTGCAGGAGAAAGGAATAACTGGTTCCTTTTGCTCTCCTCTCCCTGTCTTCCTCCTGTCATCCTCCTGCATTTCCCAGGCAACATGTGGGCTCAGTCGTGGTCCAACATTTTCGACCTGGTGATACCTTTCCCGGATGCCACCAAGGTGGATGCCACCCCAGCCATGAAAAACCAGGTCAGTGCTTTTCCAGGCTGCTCTGGGGAAGCCCCTTGGGACCCAGCACCTTTTGGCTGTTGCCAAAAAAAAAAATCCACGCCTCAACTGTATTCTCTCCCCACCTGGATGTGTAGTGGCTGGATCCAGCTCCAGTTGGTTCCCAAAGATCCCTCTGCCCAGAACAACAAGGTTATCCCTGGCTTCCCATCCTTCCCACAGCCCCTGGAACTCCCATCACCCCTCACCAGGTCCTGCTCTCTCCCCAGGGCTGGACACCCAAGAGGATGTTTGAAGAGTCAGATCGTTTCTTTACCTCCCTGGGCCTCATCCCCATGCCCCAGGAGTTCTGGGACAAGTCCATGATCGAGAAGCCGTCGGACGGGCGGGAGGTCGTGTGTCACGCCTCGGCCTGGGACTTCTACAACCGCAAGGACTTCAGGTGCCCGTGGGGAGCAGGTGGTGGCCACGCCTCGTGTGGTGCTGGGGCAGGGAGAGGCATCTCTGTAGAACAAGGGCACGTGGGCTGATGCCACTGCAGCGTCTCCTGCCCTGTGGCTGTGGCACCCCCGCTATGGCACTGCCTCTGCCACCCAAAGTGCTGGCACTGCTGGCGGGGGCCCCCGCGGTGGATGGAGGGCAGTCACTGCCTTCCCTACCCTGGAGAACGAAAAACCCAATGGAAAGGGACAGGGAAGGGGTAGGGTCAGCAGGAGATGCAGGAGAAGAGAGAGACCAAACCCACGGAGCAGGACCAGCCCAGCCTGGCATCACACGTGGGGTGGGGGCGCATGGAAAGGGAGGCCAAAGGGAAAAACAGCTCAAGGGGACGTGATGTATCCCGGAGATCTTCACAGCAGCACTGCCCTCCCTTCTCCCCTGACCCCCCTGTCCTGGTGCAGGATCAAGCAGTGCACGGTGGTGAACATGGACGACCTGATCACGGTGCACCACGAGATGGGCCACGTCCAGTACTTCCTGCAGTACAAGGACCAGCCCATCTCCTTCCGGGATGGGGCCAATCCTGGCTTCCACGAGGCCGTCGGGGACGTCATGGCCTTGTCCGTCTCCACCCCCAAACACCTGCACAGCATCAACCTGCTGGATGAAGTCATGGAAAACCAAGGTGAGCTGGGAGGGAGGCACCACACGCTGGTGGGAACAGCCAGAAATGCAGAGGGTCAGGAGGGCCTGGGCAGGGTGGAAGGGGTCAGGGACATACATGGTGGCTTTGTGTGCATGGAGGGCTCAGGACCTGCTGGGGACACCCTGCTGTGGGGCAGAATGACCCATCCAGGGTGGAGGGATGGGTGCAGCACTGCCCTGCTCACACCTCCACGCCCTGGGCAGAGAGTGACATTAACTACCTGATGAGCATCGCCCTGGACAAAATCGCCTTCCTGCCCTTCGGGTACCTCATGGACCAGTGGCGCTGGAAGGTGTTTGATGGGCGGATCAAGGACGACGAGTACAACAAGGAGTGGTGGAACCTCAGGTATGACTGAATTCACAGCCATCTCTAGGGCAAGGCCTTGGCCTTCGTCCCACTGGGTGTTTTTTCCCTGTGGTCCAGTTGGCTGCAATGGGACACCCTGGGATTCACAACCCCTCACACTGTCCCGTGGTGTCCCCTCCCATTTTACTTCACCCTCTTCTCCCCATGCTGGGCTAACTCTCCCTCTCTGGCCCAGGATAAAATACCAGGGCTTGTGCCCACCAGCAGTGAGGTCTGAAGATGACTTTGACCCCGGCTCAAAGTTTCACATCCCTGCCAACGTCCCCTACATCAGGTGAGCAAGCAGGGCTGGGGCTCGAGGGACACCACTTGGGACACAGAGGCAGGGCCTCCAGTTCAGGTGCCAGCAGTAGCACCTTTTTTCCTGGCTGGTGGGATACCTGGTGGCACCATCCTGAGGGTGCTGGGCACCAGCAGGGTCTATTCCCATCTCCTCATCCCTCTCCACCAGGTACTTTGTCAGCTTCGTGATCCAGTTCCAATTCCACCAGGCTCTCTGTAGCGCAGCGGGGCACATGGGTCCCCTGCACACCTGTGACATCTACCAGTCCCAGGAGGCTGGGAAGATCCTGGGGTATGTGTGTGGGCAGGGCAGAGCCAAGGGGTTTATGTTCCCAGATACCTTCAACCCAGCCCAGAAAGTCAGGAGGCAGCGCAGCCCCTGCTCATCCCTCCCACCCCCGCCCAAGCGTGGGATGCTCCAGCCCCTGGGGTGTGGGCAGGGGGTGCCTGGGGCAGGGGGCACCTTGGGCTGGGCACTGGGGCTGTGATTGCAAAAGCAGCCACTAGATGGTAGCTGGGCCCCTGGCAGGTGGAAGGCTCCCTCCCTCCTCCTCCTCCTCCTCCTCCTCCTCCTCCTCCTCCTCCTCCTCCTCCTCCTCCCAGCCCCCATTTCCTTAGGGAAAACAACCCCCTTGCTTCAGGAGAAGCACCTGCAAAATTAACCCTTTCACCCAGGAACTGCTCTGCATCAGGCTGGGCTTCTAATCCCTGCCATCCCCCCTTTACCCACAAGCTAAACCTCCCTCCTTGTGCCTTGGGCTGGCAGCCCTGCGGTCCTGAGGGTACAGACTGTACCCAGGGCTGCTGACACCAAGAGCCCCCGGGGAAAAGGGAAGGGCTGGTGGCCAAGAGGGTGATGGGGAACCCACTGGAGCTCGTTTCTCCTGCCACAGGGATGCCCTGAAGCTGGGCTTCAGCAAGCCATGGCCTGAGGCCATGCAGCTCATCACGGGGCAGCCCAACATGTCAGCAGAGGCCCTGATGAGCTACTTCGAGCCGCTCATGACATGGCTGGAGAAGGAGAATGAGAAGAACGGGGAGGTCCTGGGCTGGCCTGAGTACAGCTGGACTCCTTACTCAGGTATGCCAAGCACAGCAGGCCCATGATGGGGCAGAGCTCGGCCCTCACCAGGGCCAGGATGAGATGGACCTGTCTTGGTGACCCCCCTGGCCACCCCAAAACCCACAGGGCGTTTGGATGTTTCTCCTTGATTCCTCCTGGAGCTGAGTCTAAAGGGCATCCAAAACACCAGCAAGGCAGAGCTGGTGACCCAACATACCACAGCCCAAAGCCACCACACTCACCACATCTCTCATTTCTCCCTTTTCCAGCCACTCCAGCCACAGATGGCTCCAGCAAAACTGATTTCCTGGGAATGTCCCTGACCAAAAGTCAAGCCTCGGCAGGCGCCTGGGTCCTGCTGGCCCTGGCACTCGTCTTCCTGATCACCACCATCTTCTTCGGCGTCAAGTTCTCCTTGTCCAGGAGAAAGGCCTTCAAATCCAGCTCAGAAATGGAACTGAAATAAGGCAGCCACCAGCGGGGCAGCACGGGCAGGGTGCAAGCACGGGCGCTTGGCCAGGCTGGCAGCCACGCCACGGGCACACTTGCCAACAAAGCCATGGGTTTCCACAGCCCAGGACTCCTCTCTCCTATCAGGTCAGACATTTCTTTCCACTATGCAAGAGCCAAAGCAGAGAAGAGCTATTTATTTGTCGATGTCTGCATCGGGGGAAAGAGAAATTCCGGCGCCGGCAGGCACGGAGCCGTCACGAGCTGCCCCTGTGCCCAGGGCAGGAGCTGGCCCAGCCTGCTCACCCACCAGCCAACTCTGACCTGTGGGCAAAGACACAGAGACTTGAGTCAAAGAGGACAGTTTGGGGAGGGACAGAGTATGTTCTTCCCCCTGGTTTGCCTCTGCCAGGCTGTTCGTTTGCATGGATGAAAAATAAACCCATGTCTTGGCACCCTCCGAGCGGCAGCTCAGCTCCTTCTTGCGGGTGGGCTGGGATCTCAGTGGGGCAGGGGCTCTCCAGCTGCCACCCCAACCTGGTGCAAACACAAATCCCCGTGGAACCAGCCCAGTTTTGGGGCAATACACCCTCAGCACCCAACTTCCCCCATCCCCAGAGTGAAAGCTCAGCATCCCCTCACAGCATCTCCATCCCCCCTCCCCCCAGATTCGTGGCTCCCATCACAGCTGACAGCTCGTGGGTTCCCTGTGAAGCACATGCCTAAGGAAGGGGCTGGATCAGGGCCAGAAACCCCCAAAGTCCAGGCATGAACTGTTCAAAGGGTTGGGAGGGGTCACCAAGCCCGAGCTGGGACAGGGCTGGAGCTCAGGACTGCTGTGACTCCGGCACTCGATGACACTCATTTACGTAAGAGCCCGGGAGGGGGGTCCAAGGTCAGCGATCGCCTCCCGCCCTCCAGCTCCTGATTATCTTGGGATCAGCCGCGCCTGAGGCCCCCCCCTCCAGCTCCCCCTCCCCGGCCCCGGGCCCGACTTTCTTCTGCTTCTGTAAATAAAACTTCGTATTTGTTCTGCGGTGATTAGGTGCAAAACTAATCCCAGGCCGGGGATTATTGCAGCCTTAAAGAGCTGCGATCTGCTGCAGCCCGGAGCGGCAGGGGAAATGAGGGGATCTGGGATGATCCACCCGCCGCCCTCCCCGCTCCCATCCGATGGCCTCTGCCCTCGGTCATGCCTCACGCCGGGAATGGGAGGCCTGGGAGCGGCTCCCATCACCTGGCAGAGGAGCAGGAGGCAGGTGCCTGCCCGCCCACGCTCGGGTGTTTGTTTGCTTCGCGTCCTCCTCCGAGCTCAGGATGCCCACGGGGAGGTGACACCCCGAGGTGACAGCCGGGGAGCAGCAGCCCCAGCCGCCGGCTCTCCCCGCCGTGTCCTTCCCACAGCCACGTCCTGCTGCGTCTGCTTTATGTCCCGGCACACCAGGCTCCCTCCTCTCCCCCCTTCCCACCAGGGCGATGCTCACAGAGCAGAGACCTGGCACGGTGAGGGCTGGGTTTGGAGCCAAGTGTATTTTGAGCCTGGGAAAGCAGGCTGGTGCAGGTGTGCTCCATCCAGCTCAGCTCCTTCGCCGGTAATTTTGGAGCTCCCCGGCTCCTTTCTGCCCCGTTAGTGGAGGAAAAGAGGTCTCCGAGATCATCAAGATCCTGCAAGTTTCATGAAAATTGCTTTCTGGAGGAGAGGATTGGGGAAAAAAAAGAAAAAAAATAGAAAAGAGCCACACGGAACATTGTCACTCAGGGACTGCAGAGCAGGCTCAGCCCTCGTTACACACCAGAGAATCCACAGAGGAGCCGGGTCTGTCCTGCAGTGGACAGGGTGCAGCTGCAGGGATGAGTGATGGGTGCCCTGAGCTGTGACCCCCTGCTCCCAGGCAGGCAGACAACCCAGGCCCACCCTCCTCGCAGAAGACAGGGGCAGACAGCGGGTTGCCCTCAGCACAGGTCCAAGGTCCGTGCTGCAGGTGGGATTGGCCACCGGCCAACCCTCAGCACGGGTCCAAGGTCCACGCGGCAGATGGGATGGGGTTGGACACCGGGTTACCTCCAACACGGGTCCAAAGTCCGCCCAGGAGATGGGGCTGGACACCAAGTCCAGCCCGAGGGGAGGCTGAAGGTCCCACCTTGAGCTCAGCTGGGCTGGGTGGGGGGTCTGGGTGATGCTTTTGAGGGCAGTGAGGGCCGGCTGGTGGCCCCAGGGCTCTGCCAAGCCGGCAGCAATGTTTTACAAGATACCTTTAAACCCAGGATGATTTCCCTTCCCCGCTGCGATAACATCTGGAGAGATTTTGCTGCCTTCTGGCTCCTGCATCATGCTTGCTGCCGAAATTAGGAGGCTCAGCGAAATCACTCCCTGAGGAGAGAAGAAGAAACGTAAAAGCAGGAAAAAAAAAGGAAGAGATTCCCCCTCGATCCACAGAACTCCTGGAGGGGAGCTCAGGAAGCACTGGGTCCTCAGGCTTGGGGGGGCTGCTCTGCACCCCCTGCCTGTACTTGAAGCTCCCAGGGAGGAGATTTGCTGGAAGATCACATGAATTCAAAGCAAGGAACACTCTGGGGTTCCCTTCACCAGCTGAGGCACCCTTTGGGCACCACACAAACCCATTTTCTGGTGGTTTTTAGGTTTATTATCCACCACAGGAAGGTGGCTGGGTGGGGGGGGGTCTCAACTCCCCTCTGCCCCTCGGTGCTGGCAGGGCCTGGCCAAGTCAGGTCTATTCTTAGCCGGCGGGTGGCCGGGCAGGAGCAGACAGGGTGAGTGGGGCCGCGTTCCTCACATTCCCCTTCCCCAGGGACAAGGAGCGCCTGGAAATATGCAGCCACAGCTTGGCAGCAGCTGGGGGCCATCAGCGGGGGCCACCCCGGGCAGGGGAGAGGGAGGAGGTGGTGCTGGGGGAGTCCCAGGGGACAGCAGAAGTGTGGGAGGGATGGGGTGAGCTGTGGTAGGGTCTGGGGATGCCCCATCCCTGCAGCTCGTGGCTTCAGCCCCTGCAAAACCTGACTGGCACCATCCTTCCCTCCCTGCTGCTGGAGCAGGGCTGAGGGGGGTAGAGGTGGATTTGGGGGTGAGGGGCAAGTGGGAGACCCCATATTGCCCTCTCTGAGCAGGTTCAGACTCCCCCCAGTCCCATGGCTTGGTTAGAATTCCCCACCAAGGGGGACAGGGCCAGATCCAGCCCAAATGACCCCCCCCACACTCCCGATGTTGTCCCTGCAGCATCCCCGTGAGTTATTGCAGCCCGAGTGCCCCATCCATCCTCCTGGCAGGTGAGTCACGAGCCTGCCCCGTGCCTCAGTTTCCCCCCCTGTGCAGTGAGGACAGGCAGGATGCCAGGGTGGCTGCTCTGAGCCAGGTGGGCCCCATCCCAGAGCAGAATCTCCGTAGTTTTTCCCTGCCACTTCCAAGAGAGCAGGAAGTGGCTCTTGTCAGGAAACAACACCTATGACTTATTTTAATGTCACTGAGTCCTTCCCAGGTTTGCAGCTCCCCCCACCCCCAGGGTTGGTGTGGTGGAAGGCCCGAGCTGCTGTAAAGGTTCATTTTGGCCTCACATTTTAGCTTTGTTTGGTTTGGGTGGGTTTTTTTTTTTTTTCAGGTTTTGTACTCAGCAAACAAACAGCGTGGAGCTGAGAGCCTGGAAAAACACATCAGGGTTTGGAGTGGTGGGGTAGAGGAGGGAGCCAGGACGAGGAGCATCCTTCCCCCTGCGAAATAAATTTACAGCCCCGATTCCTCCCTCCCCTGTCACATCCCTGGAGCATCTTCCAAAAGTGAAGGGCAAAGCAGGGGCGTGAGCAGTGCCAGGCAGCCGGACACCCGAGCGTGCCTGGGGACAGCCCTGGTGGCTGCAAGGAGCTTTGGGGACCACGAGAGCCCCGTCTCTCCCTTCCCAGCTGTGTTTGCAGTGTGGCTCTAATTACAGAAATGTGGAGAAATGTCGTCTCTCAGTTGGCAAACACTTCTCCTGGCAAGCACCAGGCGACAGCTGCCGTGCTGGGATTCCAGTGGGCTCCCATCCCCTCCATCCCCACACCTCCCACCCTAAATCCACCCCCCATTTCACGGCTGTGCCCCCTTGCCCGATGTGCCAGTGCCTGCCCAGGGCAGCCCCTTGCTGGGTGGGTGATGATTCCTGCACAGATTCTAATTCCCTGCACTCCCAGGTGGTTCCTTAGGCACTTGTGCTGCAGGAGCAGGGAATGGGAGGACACCCTTGGGAAGCACCCCGGTCTCCTTTGCCCTTGGAGACTGAGTGGTTTCCCACTGATTCCCCGGGGTGTGGGAAGGAAGAAAAGAAGGTGAAAGGAGCAAAACCTCAAAAACGCTCAAGAAGGAGGAAGAAGAGGAGGAGGAGGTAAGGGAAGAACTGAGTGAGGGAGGAGGAGGAGGCAGGGCAGGGAGAGAGGATTACTGCTCAGTTGAATTACAGGGAGCCCTTCAGCTGTCTTGAACAGCAGGAGAATTTGCCCGAAAACCCCAATTTTTCCTATTTGGGACAAAATGTAAGCACGGGATTAACTGCAAGCATATGCTTAAAACCCAGGGAATTGAAAGAAGTCTGGGCATAAAGTGCTCTGAAGAGGGCAGGGAGGCAGGGCATGGACCAGCAGCCGGGTGGATGACCTGGCTCTGGAAGGATGTACTGAGGGAACTGGGAGAGCCAGGAGGAGGAGGGGGGGGGGACTGGAAGAGCCATGGGTGCACCAGGAGGCTCCTGGAGCTTAGTGAATAATAGCCTGAAAGGGAATGACATGACTCAACTCCATCTGCGAGGGCTGTGTGGGGAAGAGGGGTGGTAAGAGAGGCTCTTCCATCAGCCACGTGATGGGATGAGGCTCCCTGGCAAGAGAAAGGGGGATCAAAAGTGGCAGGCCCAGAGCAGGACAAGCCTTCCAGGGGTCAGTGCACAGGCCCAGCCCTGGCTGAGGGGCTGAGAGGTTGGGGGTTGTGTCCTGCCCTATGCCCAGAGCCCCCCACTCTGCAGACCCCCTCCCCAGGGGTGAGCCCTCATGTGCCCTTGTCGTCAGACACATCCGCGTCCACGTGACGCGCCCACGAACATCCCGGACTGATTAATGGGATGAGAGGAGGGCAGGAGGCCAACCTTAAATCCTGGCTGCCTGGTGATTAATAATCATAATTATTATCATATTAGCTGTAGTAATAATAGTTTGCTTTCCCCCTGCAGGACTGGGCATCCAGGAATCTCGGCAAGGTTTCGCCGGGCCGAGTGACCAATGTCCCCATTTTCCAGCGAGGAAATTGCGGCACAGAGCTGTCTCCCTTGAGTCACACAGTATATCAACAAGAAAACAGAGAAGGCAGGAGTCTGGACTCTGTGTCCCTCTCCCTCCCCCATGCTATTAAGCTGCATCTGTGTAATATAGAGCAAAACATCCTCCACGACTCGCAGTAAATCACGGCAGAGGCAGTGTGCAGAGTGGATGGGGGGAGATAATGGGTTTTTCACCCTCTTCAACAATAGAACAAGTTTTTCTCCGCTGGGGAAGGCTGACTTCTCTGAGAGACAGAGATAAAAGCAGTGCTGAGGCTCTGAAATGGGCCTGAAAGGGCACCTGGCTCTGCTCATCCGCTTGCTTTGCTGGCCCAGGGACAGGAGGAACCCGGGCAGGGTCAAGAGCCCCACGGGCATGGCCTGGTCCCCATGGGCATTGCTGAGGTGCACTGGAATATTTATTAATTGAAAATCCCCGCAAAACACTCCTGCTGATGATAATGGACCGTAATCCTCTTAGACCAATTTCATGCCTGAAAAATCATGCATAACAAAATAATAATAGAAAGCCCCTCAGTGGACACTGCCCACAGCAGTGGGCACAGGAGAAGGGGTTTGTCCAGAGGGGATTTCTTAGGAGGGAAAAGGACCTGGTCCCCTTGGCCTCCACCCCAGAGGGACACAGAGAGGTGGGCAGGAGAAGAGCTGAACTTGGGGCTAGGTCTGAACATCTGGTCTAGCAGGGCAGCATCGCTGTGGGACCCCGATGTCCCACCGAGACCTGGAGACCCACCAGGACCCCTGTGCCTTACAGAGCCCGTGGGAATCTCTGTGGCCCCAGAACCCTGGGACCTCCTGGATTCTCCATGTCCACCAGAGCTCCTAGGACCCCTCGGACCCTCCAGAGTTCTCAGGACCCCCGGGATGCTCCATGTCCCTCAAGGACACTTCGTGCCCACAGAGTCCTGTGCCAGTCCGGGTCCCCCCATGCCAACCCCCTCCCAAAACTAGCAGCCAGCCCCCCCTCCCGCCCGCCCCGCCCGCCCCTTCAGCACCATCGGGAGTGGACAGCGCCGGGTGCGGGCCCCGCCCGACCCACGGCACCCGATACCCCGGCACCCCGGGAACACCCTGACCTCCTTCCCGGCACCCCGGGACCCCCAGGAACACCTTGACCGGCACCCAGCACCCCTCGGCATTCCCAACCCCCCCCGGCCCTGCACCCACGCTTCTGCCCCTCTGCCTCCTCTTTTTCACCCCCCAGCACCCCCCTTCTCTGCCGACCCGCGCTTCTGCACCCCCTCCTCTGCACCCCGCACCCCTCAGCACCCTCTTCCTCTGCTTCTGCACCCGTGCAGCCACAGACATCCCCCCCTCCAACACCTTCCCCCGTCGGCACACCCTCCTCTGCCTCTGCACCTCTGCATCTCCTCCTCCCCCGCACCACCCCCTGCACCTCAGCACCACCTGCACGCCCCCTCTACCCACCACCCCTGCACCCCGGCATCCCTCCTCTGCCACCCCCGGCATCCAGGGCCCCCCACCACCCTCTCCTCCACCACCCTCCTCCCCAGCCCCATTCCTCAGCCCCCGGCACCCCCAGCACCCTTTCCTCACCACCCCTTTCCCCAGTGCCCCCAGTACCCTTCACCTGCACTCCCACCAACTTCCCTCCTCCCAGCACAATCTTCTGTCCCAGAACCCCAACCCTTCAGCATCCCCTGTCCCAGCACCCCAAGGACCCCATCTCCACCCCCAGCACCCCTCACCCCCAAGGACCCTCCCTCCACTCCCCATCACCCCTTGTCCCAGCATCCCAAAGCTCCCACGCCCATTTCCTCACCATATCACCCCCATTCCCTAAACCAGCACCCCAAGGACCCCACCTACATCCCCTCATCATCCCCTGTCCCAGCCTCCCAAGGACTCCTTTTCCACTCTCTTATCACTCCCTGACCAAGCCCCCCGAAGACCTCACCTCCACCCTCCCCAAACACACCCCATCCCAGCCCCCAAGGACCCCATCTACACCCACCCCAACCCCCATCCCACCCTCCTGCCAAGGACTCTTCCTCCACCTCCCCATCACTCCCTGTCCCCGCTACCCCAAATCTTCCTCCACCCCCAGCCCTCCAGAACCCCCATCACCCCATCCCAGCCCCCAGGGACCCCCACCTCCAGCACCCCAGCACCCACCTGCTCCCCCGCCCCGCCCAGGGCACCCCCGCCCCCAGGGCCGGGTGGGGCCGTGCCGAGTGCCGGGGATGCCGAGGGCCCAGGGGAGCCAGGGGGCGCCGGGAGTGCGCCCCAGCCGGCAGCTGTTGCTGCTGACGGGCTCCCAGAGCCTCCGGCAGAGGCCGGGGCAGCAGTGACTAAGCACTTTGGGGGATTTCTACTCTTATTATTTTATTCTATTATTTTCTCCCCTCTCCAGCAGGTCCTCCCCCTTCTTTCCCCCCCTCCCCCGCTTCCCCCTCCCATCCTCATCCTCCCCGGCCGCCCCCGCCCGGGGCTGGTGCGACAGGGCAGGCGGAGGTTCCCCTTCCGGCCACCGGGAGCATGGGAGCCCCGGGCCGGCTGGGCTCCAGAGCTCGGCCAGCCCTGGGGTGAGGCGGAGCAGGGCCGCGCCGTGCCGGGCCGTGCCGAGCCGCCCCGGGGCCGGGCCGCGCTCTCCCCGCCGCGCCCGCGGCAAGTTCCGCCGCTCCCGGCAGCGCGCAGAGCGCAGCGGAGCGATGCCGGTGCGCCGGGGCCATGTGGCCCCGCAAAACACCTACCTGGACACCATCATCCGCAAATTTGAAGGACAAAGTGAGTACCGCACCCTCTTCCCTCCCCCCGCCCCGGTCCCGCTCCGCTCCCCGCCCCCACGCTTCCTCCCACCGCGGCCGGGGCGGCCTCCAACTTCGGAGAGCAGCGGGAGAAGCAGGGGAGGAAGGCGGGAGGGTGTCCCGCAGGGCACGGAGGGGCCCCCTGTGACCTCCCGGAGCGGGGAGAGGGGTGGGCGACAGCCAGGCAGTGTCCCCGCGGGTATTTATAGACAGCGCGACGCAAGGGGACGAGCGATCCCGGCGCCGGTGTTCCCTCGGGAGCCGGGGACACCGCGACCCCCGCAGCCCCCGGGCTGGGAGGGGGTCCCCGGGGTGGCGGGGAGGGGGTCCCGGCCGGCTGTGCTGGGGGGACGGGGTGTACCCCAGCGCAGCCGGGCTCGCTGCCTGTTTGCCTTCAACTCCGCGCTCTCGGCGGCCGCCGTCCCTGGTGAAATGTTGCCATTTGCTGTTGCTCCGAGTAATCCCTTTATATGAATTTTTGGGCTGGTTTTCGTGTCAAATACAGCGAAGAGCCCGCGCACATCGGGGAGCGCTGGGGTTTGCGTGTGCCTGGGTGGGGGCTGCGGGGGCTCTGCCGGGCGGCAGAGCTGTCTGGGCACCCCGACGGGGCTGGGTCCCCCCCACACTGCTGGGGATGAGGGGAGGGGACCGAGGGACTGGGGTCCCCCCAGAAGCTGAGCTCGGGGGGCTGCTGTGGGGTGCTGGGGCTGCGCACCTCCCACTGCCCCGGCTCGCTGTGGGTTTTCTCCCCCGTCTGAGTTTCCCGGGTGGGCAAACGTCCCCGGCGCTGCCATCCCTGCCGGATCTGCACTGCCTGCCCTGGCTGTGACTGACGTGACCCTGGGGAAGGAAAGTGAGAAAAACTGTCCCTGGTTCCTATCAGTTCCCCTCCCCAGGAAGCGGCGGCTGGGGAGCAGCGGGGGCAGGCGCCGAGGTGTGCCAGTGGGGATGGAGCCAGGCCCCCTCATCCCTGCCCCGCTCCCTGCCCGCTCCCTGCCAGCCATGTCGGGCACCGGCTGGGTTCTGCCGAAACATCACCCCACGCTCCCCCGCGGCAGTTTCGTGCTGTGACAGGTGTGGGGAGACACAAAACCAGCACACCCGACACTGCCACAGGCAGCAGGTCCTTCCCTGCTTGTGGGTGCCCTCACCCCCTCCACTGCAGCTCCCAGGGCGCAGCGGCACCTGGTGAGTCCAGAGCCCCTGTAGGACCAAGGGCAAATCTTCAGCTGAGGGCAAGGCAGAGGGCAAAGTGGGGGTGAAAACACCCCCAAGGAGACCTGGCTCTGCAGCTCCTTCCCATCCCGGCCTTGGTCACATCCCTGAGCTGAGCTCAGCTTGCTCCGGCGCCCTGCCAGCCCCGTAAATCCTGTCCTGCACCAGCCCAGCCTGGATCCAGCCTGGATCCGGCCCATGGGGCTGACACTGGATGGGGGAACTGTTCATCACAGATGAGGAGCGTGCCCCAGGAGTGGGGCTTTAGGGGAAGGTCCCCTCCTTGTGCCGCCTCCCAGCCGGCAAAGCGATTTGGATAGAGAAGGATCGGGAAGAGAGAGCTGGGGAACGTTTGTGTGTGGTGCTTTGTGGTGTTTGCAGCGTCGGCGCCGGCGTCAGCCCTGTGTGGGAAAGGGAAAGGTGCCGGAGTGGGAGTCCCCCACAAAGGGCCACCAAGGGCTGTCACAGGGTGGGATGAAGCAGGAGACCCGTGCAGCATCCCTGGGGACACCAGTTTTACCGGGAGGTGTCCTCCGGAGCTGGGACTCTGTAGGTGATGTGGGGAGAGCCCTGATGTGCCTGAGAGGGGTCTCCCCACCCTACTGTGTCCCAGCTCTGGGTGCCACAGCCGTGCAGAGGTTTCTCCTGCATTTGGGTGAAATTCCTGGTGAGGCTGGAGCACAGCAGGGCTCTGGAACATGCAGGCTGCAGATGCCATTCCTGGGTAATCCAGGAGATTAATTGGGGTCTGGACTGGGAGGCAGCCTCCAAATGGACCCTCTGCTCTGACCTGCCTCTGGCTCCAGCCCAGAGTTGATGCCAAACACTGAGGGAGATGCTGCTGGGCGGGGGCATGGCATCCATCGCATCAGCATCCACAGCCCCCTGTCTCCCCGGCAAACCTGTCCCAGAGAAGGTCCTTCCCAGCTCAGCACCCCCTGATATCCTTGAAAAAAGCCCCAAAATCCAACCAAATCACAGCTCCAGGCTGGGTCTCCTGCAGGATAAGGATGGAAGTGGCTCCATATGGGCTGGATGACGTGGGCTGCACAGCACTGCCACATATCCTGGCACGGCAGCGAGTCCAGCCCCAGCCCAGGTGGCTGCAGCACCAGGAGGGGATGGGGCAGCACCACTCCCTGCCTCAGTTTCCCCTCTTATCCACCTGAACCTTTTCTTTTTGAGCACTGGGGTTGTGCAGACCAGCAGGGTCTGGATTTCACACTGGGAGAATCATTACTGATGGGTTTCACCTGGCTTCCCACGAAACCAAGCCTCACACTCACTCCTCCTCTTGCCCCTTGCCTGACTTCAGTCAAATCTGAGCAAGGGTGGAAAGTCTCTGAGATAACTCAGGTCCCTGATAAGCTCCTGGGAAGGGACAGAGGCTGCAGTGCTGGTCAGGGACAGATTGCCCATGTTTGAGACAGCAGAGAGTCCCCACATGCCAGCGGTGAGATGTCAAGGCTGGATGGATTGGCCAACCCCAGCAAAAACTGCCTCTGCTGGGAACCCCTCCCATCCCCACAGTCAGCAATTCACACGAAGCTGGGGACATTGTCTCTCTCTGAAGAGCTGAGCAGCACCCGGGGCGGTGTGGGATGACGTCAGCCATCCTCCCCCCAGACCTGTCACCGGTGTCCCCGGGGAGCCTGGCCCTGCACAAGCCCCACAGTGGGTGGCACCAAAAATCCCAAGCACCCCCCCCACCACCACCTCCCCCATCCTCCCAGGCTGTCCCCAGTCCCCGTGGGTCCCCACCACCACCACCACCACCACCCCCCCACCCCAAGCCTGGTGTGCTCTCCTGCCTCCCCGCAGACCGCAAGTTCCTCATCGCCAACGCCCAGATGGAGAACTGCGCCATCATCTACTGCAACGACGGCTTCTGCGAGATGTTCGGGTACTCCCGCGTGGAGGTGATGCAGCGCCCCTGCACCTGCGACTTCCTCACCGGCCCCGACACCACCAAGAGCTCCATCGCCCAGCTCACCCAGGCCCTGCTCGGCTCCGAGGAGTGCAAGCTGGAGATCCTCTACTACCGCAAAGACAGTAAGAGCCGCTCTTCGGGGTGATCCCGTGGTGGGAGGTGTCACCTGCCCTGGGTTTGGGGCTGTCGGTGGTGGGAGGCAGGTGGGGTGTGATGCTACCGGGATTGCACTCGGACTCGGGGCTTTGCTGAGGGCGAATCCATGGTGGGATGGAGCCAACTCTGCTGTGATGGAGCACAGTGGGCACTGGGACCTTGAGGGATGGATGACACTGCCAGGTTATTTGGGAATCAGGCTGTCTTCAGGCCCTTGGTGACAGCTCAGGGCTCCCAGGGCAAGAAACGGCATTGCTGGTGGGATCCCTGCGTCACGAACGAGGATCCCATGGGAAGCCCACGGAGGAGCCAGGCAGGGACATGCATCTCCCAGTCTGTGCTCCAAGATGAGGTGAGACAGAACCCCCATCTCTGCCGAGAGCCGGTGCGGCCGCCGGCCTTGGAGCTGCCTTTCCAGCGGGCAGGATGCGGCTGTGCGTGCACAGATGGAATTACGTTAAGATGAAAATGAAGCTTTGATGGAAAATGCGAGTGATTAGTTCTAATACGGCAGGAAGTTAAATAAATATTTAGTGCTCGATGCCGCAAAACAGCAGTGGCCAGGGCTCCCAGGGGCGGGGGGAACGCAGGTCGGGTGCTCACGGGAGGTTAAAAATATGAAGTGTTTCCTCCTTTTTTTTTTTTTTGACCTGTGGAGCTTTCCCGTGGCTTCAGATCGTATTGACGGGGACTTGGCCCTGAGCACCGCCCTGCCGGCAGCTCCCGGAGGAGAACCAGCTGGAAGCAAGGGGAAGGAGCAGGCAGGGAGCCCTGGCTGCCAGCCCAGCACCCTATCTTGGGGGCCGGGACCCGTGGTGTGTCCTGGCCTCCCTCCCAGACCCTATCTGCCGGGCTGGCATCCAGGTGCCAGCCTATCAGCCCCGGAGTTATCCGCTGGCAGCACCCCTGCGTGTTATCCCGGCAGGGCCGGACCCTGCACCGTGTCAGGATGGGGCCGCTCCTCGAGGCTCTTCCCGCGGGGCCGTTCCCGGGTGGAGCGGGGCCGGGAGCGGTGCCAGGGCTGGGTGCGAGTCCCCCCTTGGCCGCTGCGGTTTCAGGGCCTGGCTGGAGCCCAGCACAGCCCAGGAGAGGCGGCACACGCTGTCCCCCTGCTCCCACCCCAGCGCCAGTGCGTGGCCGTGGCAAGGACAGCGTGTGCAGCCCTGTCCCCCCTCCCTCCCTCGGGATAGTTTCCCCATCCGTCCCCGGGGACTCCTTGGCTGCGAGCCTGATCCATCACCATCCTCCCTGCTTTGAAGCATTCCTGCTGGGCTCACGGGATGCTCGGTGCTGTCCTCGGAGCCCTGCTCTTCCCCTAGGCCACGGGGAACTCTCATTGGAGCTCTGAGCTGCTTTCTTCTCTTTTTTATTAAAAAAGAGGGAAGAGGGGGGGTGGTTAAAAAAAAAAAAAAAAAGCCCAGAAGCAAACCCTTCATGTCTATTTTTAAAACCCGGCCCCACCAGCAATACGCTTTCCAATTGTTTCCCCCCAGCACTCAGCCTGCAACCGCTCAGCCCATTATAAATGGGTCTTATCGGCAAAGAAAAGGCCTTTGCATTACAGGAGCTGCTGCTTAATTAGCCGGCGGAGGCTCCGAACCCGCCTGTCCTCCTTTTCAGACCGGCAGCACCAATCTCCAGCCTCGACCTGCTGTTTATTACTGCGGTACTCCCGGCTCTGCGG